TGTAAATTTCAGATGTTTGAGCTTGCTTTGGGTGTTTCCAGGAAAAATGCCAACATATTAAAGACCCTATGGGGGACACGTAAAGAAATGGAAAAAAATATTGCCTTTTACTTATTTACATCTGAGTCAAGTCCACATTGGTCTCCTTTAGGGGTTTAACTCAATATTTTCAGTAAGCAACCCTGTCTGTTTCACATGGGAGCCCCTCAGCTTAGCCCCAAGAATGGAGGGCACAAGATCAGTAGTCCTTCTAGAGAATCATTTAATCCTTTACACCCTAGCATTGATAGGAATATTCTCCACAGTGTTCTTAATACATTTCATATGGTGTTGACAGGGACAATTTTTTAACAGTCAAGAGCTTCTTTACTTAGTGATCATTTCATTTTTTCTCATGATCTTCATTTGATTCAGGAATGACATTGTGAGGAGAAATTAAATGCTAGTCACTCTTAGGGGTTAAAGGGTTAAAGAAAATTTCTCAAATTCATTAAATTATTTATCAGGAATTTTTTCCTTCAGTGATTCATTAAGTCTTATAATATTAGCTGAAGCTTACTACACTCCAAGGATAATAATCAATGCTAGGAGCTCCTGTCGATGTCAAATAAAAACTAACCTCCCAGGAAATGGTTGAATAGGCCGCTTGATGATGTTTCATCAATCACAATGCTGGTCTGAATTTTCTCCTCGACATGGCCCACGATTGGCTCCACGCATCCTTTCTGGCACGCTGGTGTTTTCCCCATTCCAGAGGGGGCAGTAGCGATCAGATGAAGGTTTGCCTTCTCCTCGTAGGAACCAAAAAGCTTCAGTGTTGTCTGACCGAGCAAAGAGCTCGTAGACACCAGAGCTGAACAAAGTAGCATCTCGCTCGTTGTGCCATTGCTACAAGCGAACGCCGTCAGCCATTGACGAAGGCGTTGGGGTACAACTTCTTCAATAGAAAGAATAATTTGGCCCAGCTGAGATTCCAGTTCCGCGGTAGATGTGACATTACTCTGAGTGTCCATGATATGTCGAATATCGAAAAACTAACTACGTAACTTTTGTGAGCACCTTCTTTGATGGCGGGAAAAGCTAGAATGAACTAACAGGCGCCTAGGTCAGCGTTTGTATTTTAGCAATTGTGGCGGGAAATCGGCGATTAAAAATTCACCTGGTTTATAGATAACTGATGACCCAACTGGCCCAAGTGGCCCAAGTGGCCCAACTGGCCCAAGTGACCCAACTGGCCCAAGTGGCCCAACTGGCCCAACTGGCCCAAGTGACCCAACTGGCCCGAATGACCCAGCTGATCCAAAAGATCCAAACGACTCAAATAACCCAACAATGAACCAATGCCGGCATTTTATTGTATTTTATTATCAAAGCATTCATTATTTATCAAATTATCTAGCTGTCACGCTATTATTCGATTGACCAATGTCACGCAAGTTTCGTTAACCGGCACACCAGGACATATTTTGGTTAACCGGTACACCAGGATAAAGCCGGTGGGAGAGTATAACAGGGTAATTTAGTATTACCAACTGAGTTGAAAACGTAAATTGGCCACCGAACAGAGTGTAAAAGCTGACGTTTCGAGCATTAGCCCTTCGTCAGAGCGATAGACGATAGATTCTTTGCTCTGACAAAGGGCGAACGCTGGAAACGTCCCAAGACTGAATGATCACAAACAAGTTTACAAAGACTACTTGTCATAATTAATAAAATGATCGCTTACGTAAAAAATATTCTACGAAATAGCGGAATAAATGAAGATGGTTAGTACATTCGTTTCCGGTTTCCGTGATCGATGAGTTCGCGTTCCACGAAATAGCGGGAAAAATGAAGAAATCGAGAGATGTTTTAGAGCGTTTCATAACATCTCATAGCGTTACATAAACTCTTGCAAAGAACATTTCCGGTCAGATTCAGACCTTGAGAAATACCTTGGTAGTCACAATACGTACCATAGCGCACTTGTGAAATACCCTTTTATTTATTTTTTGATAAAAGAATGTTGGTAGACGATGGTATTACTCCAAACATCCACGTCACAAAAAAATATTTTGCTTATTTTACGAGATCGCACCGACCAAACTGTTGTCGAAAATTGGCGTCCAAGCCGGAAAAAAACGATTCTATTCGTGACGTCAGCTGTCTTAACAGATGTACGGAATTTCACACTTCCCAGGGTGGCATGGGGTTGCGAAAAATGACAAACAGTAGTATTGTCTGATCAAGGTAATTTTCCGTAATGCCAGAGTATATAAAGACACAAACTGTCAGTTTCAATCCATTAGTCGCAGTATCCAAAAATATTCAGAGAAAGAACCAAAGCTTTTTAAAACTTGAAAGCATGAAATTTGTGTTCTTCACGTTATCAGCCTTACTGGTTGTACAATATGCATATTGCTTACCCAATGAAATGGATAAGAAGTGTGCGTTAGACTCCACAGGTGTGCAAGGCACTTCAGCTAGTGTCCCCAGTACCAACGTTCTTCACAGCACTTTACATGGAGTCGTTGGAACGAGCACTCCAAACAGCCCCTCAACAACACTCTTTAGAACTATCTCTAGCCGATCTTGGCGCCGCACCACACCTGGAGTCATTCAAACGGGTACTGCACATAGCACTTCAGCTGGTACCTTTGTAACGAGCGCTCCCAGTCAACTAGCTGCATTGGACATCAAACACGTATACCGGAACGGTTACGGAAAAGAGACAGTTGAGAAAAGATTGCGAGTCATATTGAGGAGAGACGAAGCAAAATGGGTGTATCTGCGGGCCTATTCTAACAGCTACTCTGATCCAAGAGCTTTGTACGTTCATTTCGACGGTATACGCGTTTTAGCGACCATAGCTAGTCACTCTGTCTGGTACAATTCCATATTGGTAGAAACCAGCCATGAATGGTCGTGCGTGAAGCGGTCTTTGAAGAAAGGCCATTTCAGTTACGAGGACTTCTCGACTTACTCAAGCTACCGCGAAAGCTCGGGGTTTCGGGTTTACACGGACTGGGTAGAAATCAGGGTGTTGACAGACGATGTTCCATTAGGTCCCTCCAAGGACCTTGAATGCTTTGGCAAACAGTTTCCCTCGTTGAAGAGAACTTCCAAAACCGGCGGAGTTCGCGTCAACCTCACAAAAATGTATTTCAAACAAGTTGGTGTATCGAAATGGTGTTGTAGAGATGTGGAAGAAGAAAGTACTGTTATAGACCTTAAAGAGGGCCTACCAAAAACCTTCTCGCTCAAATATGTGTCTATAACTGATAGCATTGTAACTAATGGGCGAGACGAGATGAAAAGCGTATTTAGAGATGAAAATCCGCGAAATTTAACGTTGCTGTTTCACGGTGGCATCTTGTATGCTGGTATGGCTAAGTTGGAAGAATCGGCCTACCATACTGGTAAATATTGGTTGTATGACTCCTCCTGGAAATGCGTCAATATCACCGTAGCAACGAAGATCACGGGTCCATATACGCGAAGAAGATTGGACTTTTTCAGTTACTACAGCAACGCTGGTCCTGTTACAACTATACAGAAGCGAACAGACTATGTGTTTCTAGAGGTTATAGGCATGAAGTCGCGAGCTGGACTCGTGACATCTTCCATAGCGGTTCTCATTGCAGCTTTAGCCGTAGCCTTTGTTCTGAGCGATAAATTTGCTGAAGTAGCCCTCCATTGAGAATCGAAAATTCTTTTCCACTAATTTATTCTGATTCACACTGGTAACTAACCAGAGAAAGAGTGTTTGTTCCTAATTCACAACCTCGTCCTCATGATGAGTGGCCTGGGAACGAGGTTGCGAAGTTCAGTTATTTCAGTTTTGTGGACTGACATTTTTGGTTTTCTGCAACAAGTTGACACTGATTGCGAACTTTAAAAAAAACTGGATTAACTCTTATATTTTCAGAAGTTACTAGTCTGCGGAAATATTTACTTCAAAACAGACAGGTGATTTTGATGTAACAGTGGTCAAAGCAGTTCCTATTTTCAAGTGAATAATGAGTTACTGTTACTCGGTCAGGTTGTCGATGTCCACTGTATTTAAGTTGTTGATATTGACATAATTTTCGCAATTTTTGTAAACGCTTTCACTTTTCTTTTCATTTTTTTCTTTCGTTTTCCTTTTCTGAAGCTTGTATTTGGATAGCGCTCTTTTAAAGGAAGTAAATATTAATTAGTCATTTATGTTGCTTTTGTTTTCGTTCCTGTACACACCACTGATTTATGTCGCAGCACTCTTAAATTGTAATAAACAACTTTTATTTAATCGAAAATTCTATTTTAATTCATATTCACTTTGGTAAATAGAGATGAGCTGGCAGGGGGGGACTTCCTGGACCAAAGAAACTGACAGTCAAACACAAACTGAAAAAGGCGCACATGGGACGGAAAAATGGAACATGGCTAGGACGACGGGGAAATTACAGGAAACGCTCTTATGCTTTTGGATTAAATTCGTACGCAGACCTTACCGTAACTGAACTACTTGGTCGTGAAAGGTCTGGGTACTGGACCACTTTTACACTAGCTGCACGTCATAACTCCTCTAAAGTGGATTTGAAAAAATGATTGTCAGTATGTAATGTTGTGAAGGCGCGTTAATTGTATTGGCTCACCATAGTCTCAACCTATTAGCTGCACTGCTCTAGGCGGATCGAATAATGGCTGAAATCATTCTGAGGCGTGTCTCGCGAATGATCAAGAACAGTATTACGCAACGACCATATTAGCTTGCCCCAAAATTCATCTCTACAAAATAATTTCATGAATATTATCCTCTTTCTGTTCGAGCTCTCTGGGCAAAGACTGCCTTAAACTTATAGCACAGTCCAATATTACGCACACGCGGTTAATTGCCAGTTGGCACCTCAGATCCTATAGCCTACGTGTAGCCGTACCCTCCCCCCTCAAGGTGAAACGGAAGCGAGCGCCTCTGCTTCACCGACGTACAACCTGGAGACATTACAGTGAAAATTACATAGATTAGTTACTCAACACGATGGAGCTTTGCGGCCCGGCCTAATTCAAGATGGCGAAGACCTTTGTATGGCCGTGGCAGTATAATTTTCCTCCTTTTTTCACGTAAGTAGAGATAATAGCCGCGTCAGATACCTCACCTATGTTAGAGTATTAACACAGAAATCTCTCGACAGGCTTCAAACGAATTTGGATACTCGCAGAAAACAAATCGAAGGATGGTGTGATCTTGTGTTGGCCTTCTACAAATATCATAAACGCTACGTTCTCGATGTCACAGAAGCACAGACAAGCGAATTATTCTCCAATAAGAAGATTGATCATATCCTTGTTATATAAGCTTTGTTTAAATGCATCAATATTGACCCTCTACCTGGTGGATTTAAAACCCTTTAACTCCCATGAGTGACCAATGCAGAATTTCTCCTTACAATGTTCTATACAATATCAAGCAGACAAGTTATGAGAATATAGTAAAATAGAAATTAGGGGATAATCATTAAATCAAATACCAATATCTGCAAACTAACATTTTAAGAATTGTAAAGCAGACCGTGAAGCAAATTACTAATGAGATCTTGGGAATGAAAAGGTTAAATTTTCAAAAGTGATGAAAATGTAGCATAATCCTCCTTGCAGTATCGAGAGGTAAAATTTGCCTTCTAAACTGCAAACAGGTGGTAAGAGTAGAAAAAAATTAACTTCTAGTGGGTATCCTATTGATATAGCACCAATTAAGAAAAAATAAGTTACAAAAATGTATGGGCAACTACAGAATATTAATCCCCATCAACAGATTTCCTCCCCCCCTCCCCTCACCCTTATGGGGTATTGAAGAAGGGGCTAGCTCAGTGGGTCAGTAGGGAGTCAGTTCAAATGTATAGTGTTCCAAAGGGAGAATTATGCATAAGATCTTGTGATTAAAAAGGACAATGGGAACCATAGTTGGCCATAACAAAACCTTGCCACATCATCTTCTTTGACTGTTGTTCAGGTAAACTATCTCTAGAAACCATAAATCTTATCTTGGAAGAACTTCAATCAAAAGGTAGAACCCAGTCCCCCTCCTCTTCTCTAGCATTTTATCAGGTCAATGCAAGCAATAATCCCAAGTGGCTACCGTAGCAAACAATTAACACCTTTTTGGTTTTGGTAACAAATGTGACTTCCAAGAGCATGGCCCCAGAACTCCAATCCCAGCAGTAACCCTTACTGGAAGCAGCACCTCTTACTCTGGATAATATATTGACACATTATTTTTCCTTTTGAGTCAGGCAACATTGAATGGGAGGATAAGAAAAAGCAGAGATGCTTTGTCATGTGGCGCACTCCAGATGAATGGGCTGCCTTGATCTTCAAATGGGTAATGAATGAGACCTTCCGACCTTCTGTTGTCTCACAAAGTATAAATCCTTAAATACTTTCTACAATTTTTCCAGAAGTCCTCACAAAACTGGTAAATAACAGGTTTTTATGTTGTCTAGGTGCAAGAAAATGGAATGACGGACACCGTATGTACATTATTTGAGTTGAGAGCTGGAGATGACACTGTAAATGAAGGTGTGGTGACTTTTTACTTGTTGATGGCTGTTTTCTTTACAAATGTTGGATTAGGAGTTTGAGGCATTATAGAGGATCCAACATCAACTACATTTTGAATTATTTCTTTTTGTTTCCACAAGAGTTCTATGGCATTGACATGTGGATGCTGAAAAAAGCCCTGGGTCAACTGGAACTCAAAGGAAAAGCTCAAATGTTTGAAGCTCCAGATGCTACAGATGATAGTGGACAAGGAGTAAAGTTCTTTTCATAGCTAAAGAGGCATACGAAAACAGTTAATATCTGCAATGATTTCACAATCTTTAATCTCAGTTTTACCATCAGATGGTAAAAGTAGGAGGACAAGGAAAGTTAATTTTAGTTTCTGAAGGAACTGATAGTTGATGGAAATCAGTGTTGAGAAGGAAAACTAGGTTAAAGTGTTTTGAAAATACATTATTCTGCATCGGCAAAAAATATAAACCCTTTGTTGATACTAAAGTGCAAGTTGGTAGGGGTCAGTAAACCAACGGCTAGAAGCAAATTCAGAAAATCTGATATTTGAACTGCAAACCTTCTGCAGTAACATAGATAACCACACACACACACACACACAAAACTTTTCCTGCTTGTCCCAATGAAAAGCTAATGCTGACTGCTTTCATTGGATTTAAAGACTTCCTTGTAGGACATGACTTAAGGATCAAATTTATCTAAACAAAGCTTCAATTTTTTTTTTCGATGATCACAGATTGTAGTAAACTGCTAATAGGAACTGATCACGGTATCTGGCAGATTACATGGCTACACTGACAAATGCTGGAGGGTTGTCAAAGTTGTAAAAATTATTGGCAATAATCTCGATGTAAAGACTGATATGCAAATGTGGGCATGCGTAACATGCAAGAGTTACATTTTTGGCTGGGTGGGTTGAGATGGGGCAGGTTGTGTACTTAATCATTTCATTTTTGTCACTGAAAAGAGCATAACTTTCAAAAAACGAAAATATCAGAAAGACAGAAAAAACCAAATTTATCTGAACTCACAGATATTATGTGATCTACTGTCTCTACTGTCAAAATACTTCTAAGTGAAAATGAAATGCATCGGTACCACGCTTTCCGCTGTCTCCTTTGTAGACGTTGTTTGGTCTCGTCACACAACGCCCTTTATTTCCCGTTTGAGAGAGAGCACGTTGCGTGACGAGACCAAATAACGGTTACGAAAGAGACTACGCGTACTGCAGTTCCTCCAAGAGAGAAAGTCAAAATTCTTCTTCTACAGTTAGTTTCCCCAAAAATATAATTCCGCGTAATTTTGCTACGAAAAGCGAACCGAAACTTTGTTGTACCTCCAATAGACCCTAACCAAAGATATATATTGCGATATCGGATAAGTGAAGATACACTGAACAACAGATAAGGATCATATTTCAGAGAGGGCTCCCTATTTGGTTGTTGCCTTTCTGGACTTTGTCCTCTGTGTGTGAAATGCGTGATAAAAAGCAGGTTGTTTTACTAGGAATTAACGCGCAATTGGGTTAGTCTGGGAGCAAATGTGGTCCCGTGTGAAGTTCGTGCTGAAAGCAAGCACCTAGTGTAAAAGTGTTCATTAGGACCTACTAAACATGAAAAGTTTTGGTGCCAGCTTTGCAACTTGCTCAGACGGCTTTAAAGGGGGGGTTAAATTCTGATCCATGAAATCTAGCATGGAAACGAGGCTAAAACACATAATTCCTCATAACTTTGTTAATAACAGACGAAAATACACCAGACTTGCTCACATGATTGGGCATGATCTTCCCTGCTGGTTTATGTTAATTAACATAGGTCACGTGACCTAACATATGAAAGCGAGGCTGAAACATAATTTACTATAAATTTGTTAAAAAAAATCCTTATCATGCCAAACTTGCTCACCTTAGTCAGTTAGACATCTTGCATCGATTGGTGACACTTTGTAGTGTCACGTGACCCCATACATGGAAACGAGGCTGGATATATCTGGTAGCATCGTGTAGGATGGCATTTGTCCTGCCAAATGTATTAACAACTTCTAGGCAGATACATATCTGGTTATTCGATTTCAGATATAAAAACTACAACTAATCATTGTCCTATGGCCCATAGCACAGGGACAAGACGGATAAAGCAAATACTGCGGAGGCTCCATTTGAGAATTTATCTTGTACACAGAATCAATAATTTTGCCAACTTATGATACTGGTTCCATGTATTCATTTTCGCATGTATATTGGAACAAGGGCAGAAAATGAAAATAGCGACCACTGCTGTTTTATATATACAGTCATGAAAGTCTTACTGAATATCTATATACATTGTTCTGTTGTCCATTCCTATGGAATTTCCTGTTCGACTTCGTCTTCATCATACTCATCATCACTTTCAGCATACTCGTTCTGGCAATCTTCAGAGCACAGACAGAGATCAGTACAGACAAGTCCGGCTTTTTGACACTGACAACGGTTGTTAGAGCAACGGGACTTGGCGCACTTGCATCGGACAAGCTGTATAATTGCCTCTGGAGCTGGTGGAAGATTTTTCATGACTGGTACCCACTTTCCACCTACAACTTGCCATCCATAGCCTTCTGGTGAGGGCAACACCGGGTTTGCTACATGATCGTTGTTCCAAACAAGAAGCTGGTAGTGCGCTCTCAGTATGGCTTGATGGAGAGCAGCTTGTGTGGGCGGTAACCTCTCAGACTCAGCTTGATTTTTCTTAAAGAGGGACCATCTGAGGGCTTTGACAGTTTTGATGTCTGTCTTTGGTTGGTACATCCGACAAACCAGCTGTTCCACTCCACTTCTTGTGCCGTCATCTGGCTGTTCCCCACAACCGAGGTTAGCAAGAGCTTGCAAGATAGGAGTGCTGGTGTTATCAAACTCATCCCAACAAATGGCTTTTCCCTTTCCAGAGAAACTCCCAGTAACATCTGCTCCGGTCAACGCATGAAATGCTGGCAGCGCAGCCGTCTTAGTGGGCCCAAGGGCGTCTGCGATTGACTTCAAGTTGATAACTCTACGACTACTGCCGGTTCCAGTAACAAAGCAAGGGTTGGAGCACAAATCTGGATACCGTCGGAGAGCCAAAACAAGAACATCAGTGTCAGGAGAATATATAGATAGTTGGGTAGCACCTTGAGCAGAGGCATCCAGAGCCGGTAAAATAATCTTCGTGTCGGCTTCTTCTTGTGTACTTCGTAAATGCCTGACGTCTCTGTGCGTTGCCTCACATTCCGTTCCCCATGCCACAACGACTTGTCTCCCATTGCGAAATAGGATTGTAGAAATCGCTCATAATAAAGTCATATAAGCCACACGAAACACATTATCATTGCAGCTTTTTAGCTTTATTTTTTTCATTCAAATGCTATACATACAGCATTAATATGCATTCCAATGAGTCAACGTTATTGTCCTGGATGATGTGTTCACCTTTGGCGTGTTTTGCAATCCAGCCTCATTTCCATGTATGGGGTCACGTGACACTACAAAGTGGCACCAATCGATGCAAGATGTCTAACTGACTAAGGTGAGCAAGTTTGGCATGATAAGGATTTTTTTTGACAAATTTATAGTAAATTATGTGTTTCAGCCTCGCTTTCATGCGTAAGGTCACGCGACCTATGTAAATTAGCATAAACCAACAGAGAGGATCATGCCCAATCATGTGAGCAAGTCTGGTGTATTTTTGTCTGTTATTAACAAAGTTATGAGGAATTATGTGTTTTAGCCTCGTTTTCACGCTGGATTCCATGAGTCAGAATTTAACCCCCCCTCAAAAGCCGTCTGAGCAAGTGGCAAAGCTGGCACCAAAACTTTTCATGTTTAGTAGGACCTAATGAACACTTTTACACTAGGTGCTTGCTTTCAGCACGAACTTCACACGGGACCTTATTTTATGACATTTGCTCCCAGACTGTAAGGCCAAGGTAGCTTAAAGCGACTTTTAATTCGTAGAAAAGTCAAACGCGGGAGAATTGCTTGGAAAACTCAATATCAGTAGTATTTAGTTTCATGTGAATTTTTTTCAGCGGGGTTGGACAATGCAGTTAGAATACGTAATAAAGTACCGGTTGTTTACAAAAAAAATGACACGTGATAGAGCGAAGTCCAATGTGGCAAAATGGAATTTGATTGGTTGAAGACAATTCCAGCACGTGAAAAATTACCTAATGTTCATGTAGTGCAATGGTTAGGTATGTTCTGATTGGACTTTGGACGTTGTTTTCTCGGTACGCGATGGAATGTAAGTTGTTTGGCGCGTGCGTTGAGTAAAGGAGCGGAAAAGACACGTTTTAACTTGAAAATTTAAATGCGTACTTTTCATATCCCGATACATCTCGACCTTAATCGATGAGGCTCTCGCGAAGGCCACAAACCATTACACTTATCAAATGAGCCCAAAATTTCTACTTAATTTCATTCTTTGTACATAGCCCCGTGATCCATGACATCACTTACAAGAAAACAATACCCAAACGCCGTGATTGGTGCAGGATATTTAAATACTATGATATGATTGGTGCGAGATACATACCCTAATGCGGCAATCTGACTAGTGCGAGATACATACCCTGATGCGGCGAACTGATCGGTGCGAGCAACATAACCCTTCATACGCTGATAAAAAGTTTTTTTTTTTTTTAACATAAAAAGTTTTCTTCCAAAGTGTATCAGCGCTTTATTTTTGATCAGTCATTAAGTTAGACAATAAGTCTTGTAGTGCTCTAGGAATTGAACATCTGGTGGATGTGGCATTTCATGAGTGTAATAGTAGTCTTAAGTATACAGAAAATTCCAAACAGTAATTTTGTTGGCCTCTATAGCAGTCTTCTTTCCAGCACACAGACTTCCAATGCCTCCAAGTATTTTTTCAAAGTTTTACTCTTGCCATTCTTGACATGTTACCTTTGCCTTTGTTGCAAGAATTTTGGGGTCAGGTGACAATTTGTTAAAAAATCCACTGGTAAAGGGAGGGGTGGGGTTTGGACTTCTGGTACCCTTTCTTTTGATTTACAACTGAATTTAGCTTCCAGTCAGTCCGCAAGAGATCTATTTTCTGCTTTCTGTAGGAAATAACAGAAAAGCATCACCGTGTTTTCCTTTTCAAGAGCATCCACAGGTATCAGAGAAAAGGCAGGAACCAAAACTGCAGTCCTCTCCAAACTCCTATGAATTAAGTCCTGTGCATTCCAATGGTCCATAACACCTTTGACATAAAATATTCTCAAGTACATCAGATGAGAAAGGCTGAAGTCGTGTTGTGAGGTGCAGCATTTTAACTCATTAACAGATGTCACCATGACTTCCTCCAGGGTAAAATCAGCTGATGTACTCTCTGAAATGTGCAAAGGAAAATTTGTAACAAAGGTTGTTGACTTGGCATCGGAGACAGGAGAATTCTCCAGCTATTACGCAGAATTCTCGGTCAGATTTGAGTAACCAGAGTTATGTTATATTTAGACATGGAGCCATCATAAACGTTTTTTCTTGTTACTTTATGCAGTAAGTATTCTTCTGCTGTTACATTTCCTGGGATGTCACTTGTTATTAACTGAGATTTCACTCAGATGGAGTAAAAAGATGCTTCATTCTAGAACCTGAAGGAATCTTTCACTATTGTGTACCCTCCAGTAACTTGAGAATGGAGCAACTAAAGAATCGACACCCCAAGTCAAACAGAAATACCTTTTTATGACCAGAATTTTTACAATCAGTGGTCTAAATGGGGACAGCCCAGCACAGCTGAATTGCAAACTTACTTACCAACTGCTATGTTGGCGGCAAAGCTGCTGTTGATGTTTCCTTTGACAGCAATGCTTCTTACAACAACACTGAAACTCCCCCTATCAGCTGACGTTGAGTTATCTGATGAGTTATATTGGTGTGAAAATACAATGAATCAGTTATTGATAAATGTTGTGTGCCTGTCTGTCGCCTGAAATGTGTTAAAACATTTTAAACTCTCTGCTAACTGCACAGAATGCTGAACTTAATTGAATAAATAAATAAATAAATAAACAAAGTGTTTAAAAGATCCAATTGGATTCCAACTGAACCCCAATCTACAATGAACCTGGATTTCAAGCTTAGTACTCTAACCAAGCAGGCACACTGCCCTCACACGTATTTACACATGGGGAATATCATGTTATTTAATGCTATTCAACTTCCCCTGCATGTCCTAAATTTTTAAACCCAGTCTAAGCATGTAACACTGAATTATACCTAATGAATATAAGTGCATATTAGGTTTCCTCCAAAAACACATTGATTTCCAAACTTACACAAACGCTGGAAATCACTTTCCTGTGCTACAACATGCCATTCAATCAAGGCTCCTTTGGGTAATGCAGGCACAATGATATATGACATTAATCCTGTTGGTGATCCTTTTTCTGTCTTACTGCTCTCACACTGTTAATAAACAATTTATCAATTTTAAAAAAGGTACAGGATCAGTTAAGAGTATGTTCAAACAACCATGTCATGTTAGGAAAACACTACTCAAACCTCTTAATCTATATTTGGGAGTAACAATAATCATAGTTCCTTTATGCCACAAATATTAGCCTAAGATAAACTGTGTCAATAGATCCATGGCAGCCACCCTTAAATTGTCCCCGAGAGGATTCTCGTATTGTTTTTACCACAACATTAGACGCTGTTACCTGTCTACCTGTTACCTTATCTTTCAATGCACAGCTCCAAGCATTCTTTGCAACTGGCACGGAAACAGATGATGTTAGAAAACAAAATCCATGCACAACACTTTGTAGTGATTCTACCACATTCAGTGCTGTTAAGATTTTATCAACATGTTGAAGAGACAGTGGTGCCTCCCTCAAGATACCACCAGACACCATTGTCATTGCTGATGGCCATAAACCAATGGAACCAGAGACAAATATGGTGTCTCTGACCTGCAGAATAGAGAGTGACTGTAAACAAAATTCTCTTTACAGTGCCACTACTCCTGAGTCACACATTAAGGTCATGAAAATAAAGGAAATGATCCCAAATTCATTAAAGAGGCTCTTGATTGTCAAACAAATTCTCCTTATCAAGAATAGTATGGAAAATATGCTTATTAATGTTAAAGTGTAAATGGTTGCAAAATCAAGTCTACAGGAAAAGCTTATTGCTCAGGGACACCTGGAAATTACCCCATCCATGGTTCCAACCACAGGAAGGCCACACAAATGGTGTGAATGCTTAAAAACTCAAATTTAGAGAAAAAGTATGTGTATATAAAAAATCTTATTCTCAACCTAAATTGCAATAAATAACGTCAAGTGCTCAGGGAAAGTTTGGCAATGGACCCTGATCTGAGTGCAAAGTGCTGTTAATAGTTAAAATTTGTAAGCACAGGAATGTCAATATAAAACAATTCAGGTAAAAGTGTGCTAATTGTTAGTAATGATAGGTAAGAATAATCACTGCAATTTAGTGCCATAGCAGGAAGTTTTTTGATTGTCCCTTATATTTCCTCTAAATTCAAGTATTCAAGGGGCTACACAGATTATGTTCTTTGACTCAGGCTTTATAATCAGGAGCACTGTTATTGACCCCTCAGCGGGCCACTGCATCTCCCCGGTGACTAATAACAAAAATCCTACCTTATAGCTTTAATATAATTACCTTTGTTGCCTGGCTGTAAGGTCCAATATTTGCTGGCGCCCAGTGAGAAATGCTCTGAACATGCATAGCTTCTCGCAGTGAATTGTTAGCACCTTCAGCAGCAAATACAAGGCAATCAACTTGAATGGCGACATCCTCTGGTAAGTTAAGCTGAATACAAGCCCTTTAAAATAATAAATGGTCTGGAATTACAACTTCTTCAATGCTTGATTCCAGTATTTCCCTTATCAGATTCAGCAATCATCAATTAGTTAATGCCTTATGGCAGATTGCATGAACAAAGAATATAAAAAAAAAAGAAAAAATAAGATCAGTTTTACCTGGGCATGATTTTTCTGCCACATTAACAAATTTAAAAAATTGTTCATTTTACAAAATTACACAGCCATGTAACCCATAATGCAGTTTAATGTTTTGTCAGTCAAGTATCCCATCATATAAAGAAGCACAAATGTGTCAGTCATACACAAAGGGCTCATGGGATAACATGGGAGAGCCAAAACCAAAGTGATCACAACAGCCAATCAGAGCAAAGGAAAATATCACAAGGAACCAATGAGAACTCAAAGTACAGATTTATGGGAAAAACTTACAATGGCTGACTCCCTGAACTTCTAGGAAATGTGATTGACCCTAGTTCTGATTTGATCAAGTTTTGAATTGTATTGGTTGGAAAATAGAGCTAGTTCCCTGAATTTATCACAGAGCATAGTCAAGCAGAACCAAAAGCCATTCCAAATTGTTGTTGACACTTAAAGAAAGTTCTTCCAGACACCAGCACTTACATTTTGGTCATATTCCTTTACAAGACAATTTGATGGAAATTACCTTGCAGGAGGGTTCACTGATAAAAACCTCTTGTAAACAGAATTGACTTTGGCAAAGTCATCCATGTTCTTCACAAATAGGTGAACCATCATTCCATCAGACAAGGATGCCTTCAAACTTGAAAGTGTATCTACAAAGGAGACAAGTTGGCATTTCAATGATTATGTCATCACCTAGCTTTTTACTTGGAATACCACAGACCCACCATATTCAAATTTCAGTTCAGTTTCACCATCACCTAGCTGTTATATGTGGAATGCCACAGGCATACCACAATCAAATTTCAGTCGAGATTCTCCATCATGGTGGTCTCATATCATATGGTAATTAGCCATGTGCTTGTGCTTCTCACTGGAGTTAAGCCCTATTGGCTAGGCTTACTAGGAGGGGTGACCTCACATAATATCCTGTGTTGTTAACTTTTTTTTCAAGTCTTCATTTTTCAAATCCACCTGTGTACTAAGAAAAGCTTGCATGACAAGCCAAAAAAAGGTTGGCTTAGGAAGCTGGTAACGAGTCAACTTAAAATACATTTATTATTTTCTGCGTTTAACCAGAGTGACTGTTGGTAAAGACCAATGCATCCCACATCAACACCTCCAGGTATCTTGTTGATGTTAAAAGAAAGTCACACTCTGTAATTTACAGCTCTTGTAACACTACTTCAACAAGCATTCCAAGCTCTCAGCAAACACAGCATTCATATCCCAGCTGTACCAGAGCTGGCTAAGCCACCTTAAGACAAAAATCATATCGAAACAACCTGAGCTGCTCGGGAACACCCAGTTGCCTGGTTAACTGAAAAATCTCACCTTGTAAACTCTGGAACACATTTCTTGTTACATCTTCAATTGCTAACTTTTCCCCTTC